GTTATAAAATAAAAACAGTTACAAGCATAAACAAAAGAATTGAAAACAATTTTGGATATATAAAAAAATTAGAAATCAAGATGGCTTGATTCATGCCGTTGCCTATTAATGTTGTTGTTATATTGCATCATCAGAGTGCATGATGTTTTCGAGAGTACAAGAGGACATAGTTTGAAATCTGCAGTGTGGATAGTATCTCTATCCCATAGAGATAGAATTTCTGTCAGGGGCTTGGAAAACCAGCAACTGGGAGAATAGCTGCTCTGTACATACATTCAGTTTTCAGTAGAAGGTTGGAACAGGTTAATTGGTGATTTATCACTTATACTGAATAGGTTCTATATTTGTGCAGATCACTGAAATATGACAATATTAATTTTCACAGATATATTTTTAGTTTGCTTTTTAAGCACAAGTTTCACACAGAAGCTTACAATTAATTTATCACATTGAGTAAATCAATACAGTTTTAAAACTCAATAAAACCATATAAATTTTGTTTATATAGCACTAGTTCTTAAAGCTAATCCTAGATTTTTAAAAAAATCCCCAATATAACATAGTCGCACTAAAACCAGAGTAAAAAGGTGAGTCTTTAAAAGCTTGAATAAAAATATGAGAGTGAGTCTAAGTCCATATGAGGTCTGATTTCATAGTTGTGTGAGCTTCACTGATAAGACGCTGTTCTGCATTCTTGCCCATCTTCTAATTTAGTCTCGAGTCGTCTGAGCAGTGTATCTTAAGGATGATCTTAAGATGCAGGCAGGTTGATACAGGTGGAAGTGATCCTTAAACTAGCCTGATTCTAAACTGCTCAGGGTTGCGAATGCATTTATGAGCCCTTTGAAGTGTGCTTCTAAGCACACCGGCAGCCAGTTCAACTGGCACAACATAGGTGTCATGTGCAGCAGTCGCTATTCACTAATGGAAGTAAGTGAAGCGCTGGAGCACTGGCAATAACATTCAAAGGCAAATCAATACAAAATTAATCAGAGGCAAAGTAGACACAGCCTTTCCTTTGCATGCTGCCAGATCAGGAGCAATGCCTGCTTTAAGGATGAATTATTGGAAAAATAAAACAGCATATTATCTTATTAAACCTCCTTGGGTGGAAGGTAACTAGAGGGTATAATATATATACAGTAGTACAGTGAGGAGGGAAAGTATTTGATCCCCTGCTAAAGTTGCCTGTTTGATCCCTTTGCAAAAGATGACTTAGTACTTGGTGGCAAAACCCTTGTTGGCAATTACAGAGGTCAGACGTTTCTTGTAGGTGGCCATCAGGTTTGCACACATTTCAGGAGGTATTTTGTCCCACTCCTCTTTGCAGACCCTCTCCAAGTCAGTAAGATTTCAAGGCTGATGTGTAGCTACTCGAACCTTCAGCTCCCTCCACAGATTTTCGATGGGATTAAGGTCTGGAGATTGGCTAGGCCACTCCAGGACCTTAATGTGCTTCTTCTTGAGCCACTCCTTGGCCGTGTGTTTTGGGTCATTGTCATGCCTTGGCTGTGTGTTTTGGGTCATTGTCATGCTGGAATACCCATCCTCAACCCATTTTCAATGCCCTGACTGAGGGAAGGAGGCGCTCACCCAAGGTTTGACGGTACATGGTCCCGTCCATCGTCCCTTTGATGCGGTGAAGGTGTCCTGTCCCCTTAGCAGAAAAACACCCCCAAAACATAATATGTCCCCCTCCATGTTTGACTGTGGGGGTGGGTGTCTTGGGGTCATAGACAGCATTCCTTCCTCCTCCAAACATGGTGAGTTGAGTTGATGCCAAAGAGCTCAATTTTGGTCTCATCTGACCAAAACACTTTCACCCAGTTCTCCTCTGGGTCATTCCAGATGTGCATTGGCAAACTGCAGACGGGCCTGTACATGTGCTGTCTTGAGCAAGGGGACTTTGCAGGCTCTGCAGGATCTCGGTCCTTCACAGCATAGTGTGTTGCCAACTGTTTTCATGGTGACTACAGTCCCAGCTGCCCTGAGATCATTGACAAGTTCCCCCCATGTAGTTCTGGGCTGCTTCATCACCGTTCTCCTGATCATTGCAACTCCACAAGATGAGATCTTGCATGGAGCCCCAGACCGAGGGAGGTCAACAGTTATTTTGTGTTTCTTCCATTTGCGAATTATCTGTTTGTGACTGTTGTCACCTTCTCACCAAGCTGCTTGGCAATAGTCTTGTAGCCTAGTCCAGCCTTGTGCAGGTCTACAGTCTTGTCCCTGACATCCTTGGACAGCTCTTAGGTCTTGGTCATGGTGGCTGCTTTAGAATCTGCTGGATTGATTGCTTCTGTCGACAGGTGTCTTTTGTACAGGTGCTGTAATGAGCTGGGATTACAGGTAAGACCTCTCCTTTACAGCAGGTGCTTCTAATCTCAGCTCCTTACATACAGTGAAGATACCAGGTAGCCTGACATCTGGCTGGTTGATAGGGGATCAAATACTTATTTCACTCACAATAATGCACATCAATCTCTGACTTTTGTCTTCTGGGTTTCTGGGGGTTTTTCTGTTGATATTCTGTCTCTCACAGCTACAATAAACCTACCATTAAAATTATGGACTGGTCATTTCTTCGTCAGAGGGCAAACGGGCAAATCTAGCAGGGGATCCAATACTTTCCCTCCCTCGCTGTACCTGTATTTCCATCAACCAAAACACATTTTTTTTATAAAAAAAAACTATGAGTCAGATTTAATAAGTGGCACTTACTTAATAAGATTTTGAATTTGGCCACCAACTTTTCAGGTGGACTTCTGGTTGTTATAAGTGAAGCAGTTGTGAGGGGATCATGAAAAGCACACTTGTCTTGTGATTTCTTTTAAACCATTTTGCAGTGTCCTTCTGTCTGGAAAGATTTCACTCTTCACCTAAAAGTCTCTGTTGAAATGATTAGGGGACACAGTTGGTCTATGCCTGTGTGGAGTCTGCAGCAGACGACACAATCTAGCCTTAATGATAACTGCAACTTTCTGAAAACAATACATTTAGAAGGGAAAACACACACATACCCCTTTGGTTGCAGAGGAAAACCATTTTTCCCCAGCCAGAACTCACTGGAACTCTCAGGTGGGCGCCATTCCCATTCTAAGAGAACATATTGAGTTCTGGTACCTATTTTTCTAGAAAAACAGTGCTACCTTCAAGTATATATTGCTATTATTTGAAGTGAGTGGGGTAACCACAGGGGGTAGGCATTGACAAAGTGTCTGGTTTTCAGGGCATGGTAATTGCGTGTGTTAACTCTGTTTACATGTGAGGTATGTAATTTCTCGTATATCTGTTCCTAAGTTGTCCACTGCCATCCTTGGTTTTGTCAAAATAGTCTGGTTTCTGTGAACATTGAAAGAGAGTTCCCTTTATGATTGGATATTTTCATCTTTTATTCTGGTAAAATTCATGAGTAATCTCACCCCCCCCCAGGTTATTTTATTGGATTTTTACTTTGTTTTAGAAACTTCAGATTTATTAAATTCTTCTTCTAGAGGGCTACATACTTTAACATATACTAGTTGAAAGCTAATGTGTGTATACTTGTAGCACATATGGTATTTAATTGCTTGGAAGCTGCTTAAGGTGGTTTGGGCCAAAAGGTAGCACAGAAATCCTGATATAAATGATAAACGTTTAAGATTTAGGTGTATATTTTGTGCAATTAATGGACATTTGAGATAGTGGTGGGAAAATCACTCATTTTCTGCAGGCGTCTTTACTAAGCTCTTCTGCCAAACTTTTATAAAACCAGTTTTCGATTATGAGTAAAGGTGGTTCCTGTGGGCTGTATGAGTCATTTTATTCTAAAATCACATTTCATAATATGGTTTCTAAGCAATGAAAGAATGAGAGGTCCACACTAATTTTAATAAAGGAGCTGCATTACAACCAAATAGCAATAGATAATAATTAAATAAAATTAAATTAATGCCCCCCTTACAGTATGACATCTCCATTTCTAATTGAATATTGTGATGACGTTTAAGTCAATCTACTTCTGAGTGTGCATTAGAGAGTGACTGTGTTCAGTATTTCAAGTAGCTAACTTGTGGGAGACTTTTTGCAAAAACACAATACTTCCTTAGCAAAGCGGAGAAAGATTACTGTGGGAACCTCAAAACAAATTGCTATATGAATAGGTACTACAGTCTAGTGTTTGATGTGATTGCTAGAAGAATCTGAAAATATGATGTTTTGATATCTGCCAGTCAAAATGTGAGTCATATTTCCATGATACATTAATTACAACAGCTGTATAGCAAAATATGACTTGAACAAGACCACATGAGTACCTAGAAAAGGCTAGAAACTTAAAACCAAGAGTTTCAACATCTCTGCCTAATTTATTCCTCTCCTCTGGGCTCTACACAGTGTTCCATGCTGGATTTCAATGGAGATCATAGCCATAATACATACATTTTAATCAAATCAATTTATTTGCTTCTAAAGTGGATGTCTGCCGTGTTCCAAATTGTATATGTTTGTGGGTATGCATTTTACAATTGTGTGTTTTAAAGCTCTACATTTTTAAATTGCCTCCTGGTTCTTTGCTTAGTCAAGCTATTCAAGCTGGTAAGTAACTTGACTGAGCGGGAGTGGAAGGCTACATGGATTTGTTTGCGTGAACATGTATGCACAGAAGAATAACAGCACCCTGGTTTAGTAGCCAACTGCAATTGAGTTTGTATGTGTTTCTGTATGGTTATTAATTATGATCTGTTCATATGTCGTTCTAGAAGTGTGTGAACTTTAAATAGGATCAATGGTCCTTCCAAATTTGTTTAGGAATAATTTTATTTACAAAAAAAGCTAAATATCTCGCTTAATAACTATATTTACAAGGCGGCGATATCATTTTGGGCTTGTTTCAGTTCTGTTTGTGCTTTGAACCACTACTTCTTACTGATGCTTTTCTGATGTGATGAAAATTGTCGTGTGACCTGCAAGACATTGTTCCATAAAACTTCTCCAATAATAATTGTTGTTTTTTACTGCAGTATGGCTATCCAAGTTGACAAGTTCAACTTTGAGAGCTACCCAGACTCCCCTGGTGAAAGAGCACAATTTACAAACCCAAAGCAGCTGGAAGAAGAGAGACAGCAAGCAAAAGGTCTGGAGATCAACAGCAAGTTAGACATTCTTTGGAAAATCATATCCTTTCAGAAATACTATTTTTTCTTCCTTAAGATACTCTTGTAGGAAGCCTGTGACCTTTAATTCAAATGATTTTTGCAAAGAAGTTTGAAAGAGAACATGGTTTAAAATTGATCATTTAACATAATTATAGAATTCTTAAACTTAATTTCAACTCTTAACTTGTTTAGATTTTTCCAGTATGTTCAGTACGATGCCTTGCAATCCTTTGATTCAAGTGGGCACACTCCAGGGTTCATCTGTTTTCTTGAATAATGCAAGATAAAGAACTGTACTGTGTTTCGTGGAATTGCCTCTGAGATGGCACAGGGCTTGAGAATGCCACTCGGGAGATGGATTATGGCACCACATTGGAGCCCAACAGTAACTGAAACACAGAGTTCAAGGCATCAGTGCTACCTGCCGAGAGACCAGTCAAGGTTCAGGACTCCCAGCCTGGCCGACAGGATTCCTTGGAACCACCTCTCATGGCAGCAGGGCCTTTATGGCAAGAGTTGGGATCTTCCCGTGAGCCTGAGGCTCTAAATTCCTCCCACAATAACTTATTGGTCCAGTAGTAAAGGTGGCATGCTGGAGCAGAGACTGTCTTCAGGCCAGAAACTTCTCCATGCAGGGGTGGGGCCTGGGAAAGGTAACCTAGAGACTTTAAAGGGGTCAGTTGGGCCTTTGTTGGAGCAATTTGTGGACTCAGAGCTGTCTGTGGTGCCGCCTTGTTGGCCTGCCCTGTGGGCTTCTCTGCAGGACCAGAACAGGGCAGATTAAACCAACACCTGACCACAATTCAGCTGGAAGGTATAAAGAGAGGATGCTGCTAGCAATAGCTTTCAACATTTTAATTGATTCCTCTAGGAGCCCTTCTCCAAAAGTGCTGGAGGCAGCTGTCAGTCAGAGCAACTTTGAACAGGACCACGGGGGCCCGTTGATTTAAAGCAGCCCTTTTTTTGTATTTCCACCACATAAAACATTTTCTGTGGTCTTCCCTAAATTTCAGCTTGTACCATTGAAGGCATCTCCCTGAAACATTTTTTTAAGGAGCACACTATGTTTCCCAATAACTGCTTACACAGTTGGTATCAGTGCCCAAAGATGGATCACGTTGCTGCTTCACTTAAACCCCAACTCCAAATATGCTGGCTATACTTGTCAATGAGAAAGGGAAGCCTTTAGTTCTAGGGAGAAGAATCAAAAAGTCCAGGCCCCTCTGTGTATCCTTCAGGACTCTCCCCTGGATAAACCCTTCCAGATATGCCCTCTGCTTGAATGATTTTGCCTTGCTGGATTTTGCCTTGCTTGAATAATGCCTCTTGCTTGTGTGGGTGTATAGATATAAATAAGCACACTACTACTACTACTACTACTACTACTACTACTACTACTACTAATTTTATTATTATTATTTATACCCCGCCCATCTGGCTGGGTTTCCCCAGCCACTCTGGGCAGCTTCCAACCAAATATTCGAAACAATACAGCATCAAACAAGAGCTTCCCTAAACAGGGCTGCTTTCAGTTGTCTTTTAAAAGTAAAATAGTTGTTTATTGCCTTGACATCTGCTGGGAGGGTGTTCCACAGGGCAGGCGCCACTACTGAGAAGGCCCTCTGACTGGTTCCCTGTAACCTTGCTTCTCGCAGTGAGGGAACCACCAGAAGGCCCTCAGAGCTGGACCTCAGTGTCCAGGCTGGATGATGGGGGTGGAATTGCACCTTCAGGTATACTGGGCCGAGGCCGTTTAGGGCTTTAAAGGTCAGCATCAACAATTTGAATTGTGCTTGGATACGTACTGGGAGCCAATGAAGATCTTTCAGGACCGGTGTTATATGGTCTCGGCGGCCACTCCCAGTCACCAGTCTAGCTGCCACATACTGGATTAGTTGCAGTTTCCGGGTCATCTTCAAAGGTAGCACGTTGCAGTAGTCCAAGCGGGAGATAACTAGAGCATGCGCCACTCTGGCAAGACAGTCTGTGGGCAGATAGGGTCTCAGCCTGCATACCAGGTGGAGCTGGTAAACAGCTGCCCTGGACACAGAATTAACCTGTGCCTCCATGGACAGCTGTGAATCCAAAATGACTCCCAGGCTACGCACCTGGTCCTTCAGGGGCACAGTTACCCCATGTTCATGCATAGAAACTTCTGACCTGTGTGTGGCTGGAATGTAGCACACTGGACAAATTAAATGAAAATAGCATTTGTCACAAGGGAATTGAACCCCCGGCTGCAAAAGGTTCCCCATCCCTATTGCTTATTACATGCATCTGCCCAGCTTGTTGCGGTGCAGTGGTGTAAATGTGGAGGTGCATATGTGCTCCTCTTGCATAGGAACAAGTCCTTAGGATTTAAAATACAGATTGAGATATTGTTTATTAAACAGCATCATATACAGTGGTACCTTGGTTTACAACCAAAATCCGATCTGGAGGTCCGTTCGTAAACCAAAACAAGCTGTAACCCAAGGCGCACTTTCGCCAATGGGGCCTCCAAAAAATAATTGTTCGTAATCCCTCCCCCCCCCAAATGGGTTGTAATCCAAAAAAAGTTCACAAACCGGGACACGTACTTCTGGGTTTGATGTGTTTGTAATCCAAAACGTATGCAAACCAGACTGTTCACAAACCAAGGTACCACTGTAGTGATTTTTATAGTTTAGATTACGGATCCAGTTTTGGGATGGGGGGGGGTTTCCCTCCACCCCCTGTTTCCTAATGAGCATGTGCTAATAGCATCTGCTGTTGTCTGCACACCGGAATCTTGTTGTTGCTGTTCAGTACTTGAACAGATGGCGTACCATTTTGAGATTGGCTAATATTTGTGAGTCTGTGCATTTTATTAATATTTTCTAAATATTTAGTGGGTTATTCAAAAGACGTTCTATTTTGGAGAGCCGTTTGGCAGCATTTGAGGAGCAGTTTTGGCAAGCCGGTTGGCTCCTAGGTGCTTAGAAATGGGAAGCAGCACTGCTATCTGTTTTGAGCATGTCCTTGGGGGAGCCTGCCATCTTCATTCTTGTGGACATGACCAAGCTGAGATGTCGTTGAGACAGGAGTGCAAGCATGCTGGGAATGTGGGCTTTGGGAGAGCACATCTTTGATTGGAATTCTGACCTGCTGTATGATACCCAAAATCCTCCTGATGCAGCACATGTGGAAGGCATTGAGGTGTCACTCCTGGTGGTATAAGTCGCCCATGACTCACTTAAATAACTAGCAGTCTCTCCCATTGACGCTGAGCTGGACAGGAGTATTGACAAGGCAGCTACTGCAATGGTTCATCTCTCCCCAAGCAATTGGGCTTGAGGAAGACGCTCCAGTGCTTTTCTCATGACTAATTGCTGGGGGGTGGGAGTGAGAGATGTTTGTGTGTTGGAGAGAGAGAGAGAGAGAGAGAGAGAATGAATGAATGCATGCATGTATGAATGAATGAACGAATGAATGAATATGTGTAGTGGAGCATGAATGAGTTTCTGCTATATGTGAGAGTGGATGTGTATGACTGGACGTATGAGAGACTGCTCCACTACTTTTTGCACTGGCCTTGCTCCCACCTCTTGCATGCGGCTACTGGAAGGCTAGCTACAAAGGAATGCTGGCCTTGGGCTGAAAAAGATTCTTCACCCATAGTTTTAGTAGTAGTAGTAGTAGTAGTAGTAGTAGTAGTAGTAGTAGTAGTAATAATAATAATAATAATAATAATAATAATAATAATTTATTTATACCCCGCCCATCTGGCTGAGTTTCCCCAGCCACTCTGGGCGGCTCCCAATCAGAGTTAAAAACAGTACAGCGTTACATATTAAAAACTTCCCTGAAGTTTTTAATATGTAGTAAAACTTCAGGGAAGTTTTAAACTTCCCTGAAGACTTAAGATGTCTTCTGAATGTCAGGTAATTATTTATCTCTTTGACATCTGATGGGAGGGCGTTCCACAGGGCGGGCGCCACTACCGAGAAGGCCCTCTGTCTGGTTCCCTGTAGCCTCACTTCTCGCAATGAGGGAACCGCCAGAAGGCCCTCGGCGCTGGATCTCAGTGAACGATGGGGGTGGAGACGCTCCTTCAGGTATACAGGACCGAGGCCATTTAGGGCTTTTGAGGTCAGCACCAACACTTTGAATCGTGCTCGGAAACGTACTGGGAGCCAATGAAGATCTCTCAGAACCGGTGTTATGTGGTCCCGGCGGCCACTCCCAGTCACCAGTCTAGCTGCCGCATTCTGGATTAATTGCAGTTTCCGGGTCACCTTCAAAGGTAGCCCCACGTAGAGCGCATTGCAGTAGTCCAAGCGTGAGATAACTAGAGCATGCACCACTCTGGCGAGACAGTTCGCGGGCAGGTAGGGTCTTAGCCTGCGTACCAGGTGGAGCTGGTAGACAGCTGCCCTGGACACAGAGTTAACCTGCGCCTCCATGGACAGCTGTGAGTCCAAAATGACTCCCAGGCTGCGCACAGTTACCCCATTCAAGACCAGGGAATCCCCCACACCAACCCGCTCCCTGTCTCCCAAAAACAGTACTTCTGTTTTGTCAGGATTCAACCTCAATCTGTTAGCCGCCATCCATCCTCCAACCGCCTCCAGGCACTCACACAGGACCTTCACCGCCTTCACTGGTTCTGATTTAAAGGAGAGGTACAGCTGGGTGTCATCTGCATACTGATGAACACCCAGTCCAAACCCCCTGATGGTCTCTCCCAGCGGCTTCATATAGATATTAAAAAGCATGGGGGAGAGGACAAAACCCTGAGGCACCCCACAAGTGAACACTCATCCCCCCCCACCACTTTCTGGACACGGCCTAGGAGGAAGGAGCGGAACCACTGTATGACAGTGCCCCCAGCTCCCAGCCCCTCTAGATGGTCCAGAAGGATGTTATTAAAAGAGAATATGAATTCCAAGGGGACGTGGGTGGCGCTGTGGGTTAAACCACCTTTTTATGAATGCCAAAGGCAAGACGGACACAACGTACACACCTTCATATGGCGATACTAGAAGCCCTTGAGCCAAGTTGGATGAACGAGACAGTTTTAAGTGGGCTTTCTTTTGACATCTCCGTAAGCAAATTTTGTTAATACTGGAGAGAGAATGTTCTCCCTGGGGGGTTCACCTTGTACTTTCATTATACAACTTTAGGCACCTTTGGCTGATTGACATCTGGTACACTTTTAAATGTTTCATCGGCGGGTAGGCTTCTTGGTTTGTTTTTGCTCTTTTTGCATTATGTATTTTGTGTTTTATCTTGTATTTTTATGCTGTGAACCGTCCTGAGATCTACAGATGAAGGGTGGTATAGAAATTTTATTGATTGATTAAAATAATAATGTGGAGCAACACACAACAAATGTGTTTGGAACGATAAAAATGCAATAATAATCAGTATTCAGAAAGTTCAGAATGCAAATGAGAGGAAATATTTATGGTAAGATGTATTCATTAATCACTTTAAGCAGTTTTCCATTAGTATAATTTCTATTTATGAATATGTGCTAATTCATTTATGCTTGAAGTAGCAGTGGGATGCATTCGTTCACTTGTACCTTTTCACATAGGAAGTGACAAGTGGGATAGAAAGAAACATCTTCATAGCAAAATGCCTGAGGTCAAACTGCATTGCAGAGTGAAAGCAATTAAGGGCTGTAAGGCTCAGTGCAGGGGCAGCGGTGGGAAGAATCTGTACCCACCAGTCTAAGCAGGAGGATATTTTATTAATGCAATATCTCAAAGTAAAAGTTGTCTTGCTGGTACAGTAAACAAGTTTGTTTCTCTTTGCATCCAACTTTATTCTAAAAATATGCTACCAACTTTCTTCAGTGACCTTAAAGGTGAGCATTAAGTAAATGTAGTTGAGAGTTTGCACATTTTACTTCTCAGTGTTCATTATAGATAGAATCTACCTGGATGTATTGGGGATGGGGTGGGGAATGAACCTTCAGATCTTCAGGCTCTACATATAACCAGGAGATAAAACTGTTTTGTTTACAGTTGGTGGTAATTCCTGCAAAAGCAGAAATAATTTTAGTGAAAATAGGTTGTCTAGAACAGAAACCTTCATGGGGGAAGGAGGACTTGTTGAAGAACTAGAGCCTGTATCAAAGGTCCCAGGTTCATTCCTTGGCATCTCCCATTAGAATCATAGAATCATAGAGTTGGAAGAGACCACAAGGGTCATCGAGTCCAACCCCCTGCCAAGCAGGAAACACCATCAGAGCACTCCTGACATATGGTTGTCAAGCCTCTGCTTAAAGACCTCCAAAGAAGGAGACTCCACCACACTCCTTGGCAGCAAATTCCACTGTCGAACAGCTCTTACTGTCAGGAAGTTCTTCCTAATGTTTAGGTGGAATCTTCTTTCTTGTAGTTTGGATCCATTGCTCCGTGTCCGCTTCTCTGGAGCAGCAGAAAACAACCTTTCTCCCTCCTCTATGTGACATCCTTTTATATATTTGAACATGGCTATCATATCACCCCTTAACCTCCTCTTCTCCAGGCTAAACATGCCCAGCTCCCTTAGCCGTTCCTCATAAGGCATCGTTTCCAGGCCTTTGACCATTTTGGTTGCCCTCCTCTGGACACGTTCCAGTTTGTCAGTGTCCTTCTTGAACTGTGGTGCCCAGAACTGGACACAGTACTCCAGGTGAGGTCCGACCAGAGCAGAATACAGTGGCACTATTACTTCCCTTGATCTAGATGCTATACTCCTATTGATGCAGCCCAGAATTGCATTGGCTTTTTTAGCTGCCGCGTCACACTGTTGGCTCATGTCAAGTTTGTGGTCAACCAAGACTCCTAGATCCTTTTCACATGTGCTGCTCTCAAGCCAGGTGTCCCCCATCTTGTATTTGTGCCTCTCATTTTTTTTGCCCAAGTGCAATACTTTACATTTCTCCCTGTTAAAGTTCATCTTGTTTGTTTTGGCCCAGTTCTCTAATCTGTCAAGGTCGTTTTGAAGTGTGATCCTGTCCTCTGGGGTGTTAGCCACCCCTCCCAGTTTGGTGTCATCTGCAAATTTGATCAGGATGCCCTTGAGTCCATCATCCAAGTCGTTGATAAAGATGTTGAATAAGACCGGGCCCAAGACAGAACCCTGTGGCACCCCACTAGTCACTCTTCTCCAGGATGAAGAGGAACCATTGATGAGCACCCTTTGGGTTCGGTCAGTCAGCCAGTTACAAATCCATTGAGTGGTAGCATAGTCAAGACTATGCTTTAAAAAATCCCATTAAAAAAGCATATTTGATGTTGTGGCTTTTGCTGTCTCAGCCATCTTTTTGCTGCCTGCTATAGACCTTCCTCTTTCAACTAGGCTTGTAATTTGAGATCTTCCCTAGTCTGCATCTGTATGGGGATTTTAAAGATGCTTTTATTGTTTTATCAATTGTTGTTTGCCACTCTGTTGGGAGGAAGGTTGGGGTATGGATTAAGTAAATAGATAAGCCTGGGGAAGCAAGGCTGCTAAAGTGCTCTCCTGAGCACTTGGACAGTTGCTGCCTGTTGGAATACGTAGTGCTTGAAGGTTAGATAGGCCAATGACTTGCCTTATTGTGTATTATTGAAAATGAAGCAATATCATCTATACCTGTGATATCTGTGCCACTTGACTCAGAAAACAAGTATTGATCCTGTCTGTCCTGTTCAGGACTGACATTTCTCTTTGCTCTTCTTTGGCTCTTCTTTCTGTCCAATAACAACCTGAAATTATTCATAGAAATTGCAGCCTTAAATGTTGTATTCATGTATGTTTTCTTTTTACGAGCTGCATCTGTGCTCCTTAACTATCATTTACCCCTCTTTGAAGCGTGAAGGAGAAGCAAGCATAGAAGGGGTTCTCAATCAACTGGTCCTAGAGCACTTGCAATTGGCTCCTCTCCAGTGGGGTGAGTAATGCTGAAAAAGATTGATAATTATATACATTTGCTTTATGTTGTGGTGCTTCTTACAGATGTTAGCTCTGCACAGTCATTGGTTAACCTCTTGAAATGTCAAACAGTGCACAATGCAGCTCTCAGCTTCCATTTTTAATCATTTGCTAAAAATCCGTGGAGCAGGGTAACTTAGTATGAGGGCTTTCCCCTTGGTTTTGTTTACTTGGTTGTAGAAAATCATTCATTATCCTCAAAACTAATTGTTATTGTTGGGTTATAATTCTGCTGTCCACTCTAGTGTGGTAGAGATTTGCTCTTACAAAAATGCTGTTGTTTTTGTGTGTGAAATGCATAACTCTTGTTTGTAGATAGTAATTTATGTGGGATATTTCTTACTGATTTATGATCAAACCATGTTCTCAATTATTTGATTTGCAGTGGGGGGTTTTGGGGGGGGGGTTCTGTTCAGAGAGCAAACACATGAAAAATTATCTTTCTGAATTGGAAGAGGTTTACATTTACATTATGGTGTGTTGGAAACAGCTGTAAAAGCAAAACTGCAGCCAAACTAGATGGGAGACACATGTGGCACTTCTATCTGTTTAGCTATCTATGAAAAGTAGACTCCAGATGTTGTGACCTTGCATCAGGAAATGCTGAGTAGGGCTGCTTTTCGTAATTTATTTGCATACTGGTGTTGGCGGAAAGTGGGTGAGCTTTCACTGAAAAAATGCCTTGTTGAAAATATTACTGCACACTGCATCTCTCTTGTTAAGTCTTGCTTAAAACTCACGTGCCTACACAGTAATGCTTGTTTAGACCTAGATTTCCCCTGGAACATGGAAAGTTCATATATATTGTTGGAACCCCAATCTCTGAGCAGTGCAAGATTCCAGGCACAGATCTTGGAATGAGAGGCAACGGAGACTGTGGTATATGATGTATTGTTTATTTATACATCTTTCTTCTTCTTCTTTGGCGATCACTTGTAGCCGAGGAAGATTGTCTTCCATAAACACAATTTTAACAATGAGTCTGTAAGTGACTATAGAGGCCAATTCTGGATCCACACTTCCTTCCACAGTGGGGATATTGGTTTCCGGGTGGGAGCTGATTACAGTGTGGATTTGCCAAGCGTGCCTTCCTCCTAGCACGTTTCTCCCTTGCATCCTGAGTTCGAGTGTCTTCAAAGCCCATGACACCTTTGGCAAAGGCTGTTCTCCAACTGGAGCGCTCGCAGGCCAGTGTTTCCCAGTTTTGTTGACCACCGGCATTACGCTTTCCATTTTTAAGTTTGGAATAGAGTAGTTGCTTTGGAAGATGATCATCAGGCATCCTCACAACATGACCAGTCCAACGAAGTTGATGTTGAAGAATTATTGCTTCAGCACTGGTGATCTTTACTTCTTCCAGTACACTGACATTAGTTGAACCTATGATGGAAGGGCTCACAGCATTAGCATCCCATGTCTTGCTTCTCCCATAACTGCAGCCTTGGATTCAAGCAGAAATCAAGTATGGCTCTCACTCTCAGGCTTCCGCCTGCAGCCTGCTTCTAGCTCAACTCTCACATACACAACACACTCTGGCTTTTGTGTTTCTCATACACCCAACCTGTATTCACTTAGCAGTATTGCAGTCAACACAAACACACTCTTATCTGCAGGCAGATATCAGACAGTTCAAACAAGCTTACAACACATACACAATTGCTGGCTGGAAGAACAGACCAGGCAGGGCCCAGTATGAAGTTATAACCATTAGTTATGTGTTCATGTACCAAAGATGCAGAACTGAATATGCGGTTTGTAAAAGATAATTGGCAAAATTCTGAAAGCATGTGGAATTTAATAGGCTGCTCTGAAAGATAAGCAATATGAAAGTTCTGCCTTGTGGAAAACAAGGATACAATATTTTGGCTGACATAGCAAAAGTGGTTTTGCAGAAGTTGAGAATAATAATAATGCTAGGTTTACGATTCCTGGGAAAAATATGTGGCTTAGGGGCAGTTTTGAAAAATAGATAAGAGACTCAACCTTTGATAAAGACATTTTAACAACTCAGCAGCTGAGTGATAAGCACTTAGCAGTAAAAAACTAAGACATAAAAGATATTTCAACTGAATGGTGGCTTTATTATTTTTCCATCAAGTTCTTTCTTTAAAAAGCTACAGGTTGTTGGTGCTTGTTTTATGTTGTGTAACATGGCAGAACAGTTCCATAATTCTCTTCTTGTACTGGTCTTGATTTTTTTTTTAATGTTAATAATGTTCAATCCTACGTACTAGTTTAGTCTGAACAATAGGAGCATTGGGAATGCCTTAGAGCAACTCAGACCATCGGTCCTTCTAATTTGTTACTGTCTACCCTGGCTCAGTGGTGGTTGTCCATTGCTACCCCAGCCCTATCGTGTAATGCCAGGATCTGAACCTGGGACCTGTGTGTGTCAAACATGAGCAGTATCGCTGAGCTACAGACCCTTCCCTAGAGATATTTGGCAGCAATCGTGGAGTAAATTTGGACTAGGAATATGAACCTTTTCCAGGGTGAGTGTTTGTAACCTTATACCAAAAGTCTCATTACTGTAAGCCATGGTTATAAAGATTAGCACTGCAGGCATATCAGCTGGTTTGAAATCAGTAATTATATTGAATTATAATTATGTGAGCCTCCTGCTTCTGTCCCCAAATAGCTATTTATTGCTAGCTATGATTGCCAAAAAGCAGGGTGGAATTGGCATTGCTGTGGAAATTACCTGTTGCAGGTGATTACCTTTAAGAGACCATGTTGCAAAGCACTCACACTAGGCTTGATTTTTATGGGCAGGCTCAAAGTGGATGGTACTTCCTCAGGCTTTTTTTCGGGGGGGGGAAGGAACTTTGCTTTTAATGGTTTATAGCACAAACATTTGCCAACCAGGTTGTTGTGAATCATTTGCTCTAATAAACAACCTTCCTATTTCTCCTAATTGGGCAACATGAGTTGTTTCTTTTCGGGACTGTTCTCTCAGAGGAAAAACCTGCTTACAGAATGGCAGGAGGGGCTAATTTTATGCACCATTTCAAATTCCACCTGTGGAAATTACTTCAGAACATCAGAAACATGATTATTTGAGCAGTTAATCTGTATAACTTTAATGACTGAGAAATTGCTCTGTGTCTGCCGAGTGCACGTTGTTTTTTGAGGCTTTCTCTGGTTTTGCACATGAAAGCCACAGAGCTGACATAAATTCGGAAGCTCTGGCATAGTCAAGGCAGGAGATATAGTACTTGTTTGGAATTCTTATAAATGTGTACCAACGCAAAAACCCTATGACGTAATTTGGAACATTCATGCCGGTTGCTTTTTAAATCTGCCCATCTGCCAAAGAGCTCAGGGTGGCGTGTGGGCCTTCCTTGCCGTCCTCACAGCAACTTGATAAAGTATTTTTAAAAACCCTGAAACATCCATGCCCCCCTTTTATGACAGTTTTATGTTTATGACAGTGGTGTATTGCTCACTTGGTAGCATGAGGCATCCCATGTCAGTCTTATTCAGGACGAAGAACCATACTCTCATCAGTGCTTTTTTTCTTAAAAAATGCTTAAGGGTACTCTCATTTTCCTACTCATATTGAAATACTGCCCCTCAGTGAGGCCAAACTTAGATTCACAAAATGTTTAGGGCAGGCTACCTCAGCCTTGGCCCTCCAGATGTTTTTGGCCTACAACGTCCATGATCCCTAGCTAGCAGGACCAATGGTCAGGGATGATGGGAATTGCAGTCTCAAAACATCTGGAGGGCCGAGGTTGAGGAAGCCTGATTTAGGGGTATGCGTCCCCCCCAGAAAAAAAGCACTGCTCTCATCTGTGGTCAAGATCAGGGCTACACTATTACATCAGGAAGAGTAGAGCAGAAATCTCTGCTTTAAAGGCAAAGGGCCTTCCTAAATCTCTCCCCCCACACCACCCCGGGCTTATTTCTACATTTGTGTCTCACTCAGAGGAAAGTTGCAAAGTGGATTGCACAGTTCCTTTGATTTGGTAGTACTCATTAGTCTTGGCACAGAGGGTAGACATTACTTAAGTATGAAAAATCGAGTGGAACGATGCGGGGCAAAGGATGGAAATAAGACAATTCAGAAGTATGATTGAGTTTACTTGTGAAAAATGGCTTGCGTTTCCTAGCCGCTGCAGTATATTGTTCTAGCAGAGAAAGTTCACTCAGAGAGGAACACATGATTCAAAGAACAGAAATGACAAGAAAGAACGCAATATGTTTACAACCTTGTGACACAGATCAGTCAGAAAAGGCAAGTTTCAACAAGACGGTTAAACTATAAGTGATGGAAGTTTCAGAAGGTGACAGAAGGATGGTGTTTCTGTGGAGAACTTTCTTAGGAAATATCCTTTTTTCATTTGAAGTGGGTGAAAACTGGCATGGATATGGATCAATATACACTAAAGCTATTATCATCAGTCTTTTCTGATTCCAGAACAAACCTTCTAATGGAACCCAACACTCATTTTTACCACATGGAACTTTTGTGTGTGTCTCCTCCTCTCTTTACCCTTATTCTGTTTAGAATAAGAAAATATTGAGATATGTCACGTGAGCCAACATAGACTGGGCCATAACCTGTCGGTGGCCTAGAAAGGTATACTAGTGGTTTGGATTTTGTGGTCTGTCCTGACAACATGAATGTGTGTGTAGGCTTGGGGGGACGAGTTGATCTGTGAAGAGCAAATCAATCCACCACAATATATACAGAGGCCCAAGTAGCATATAATAAGCTAGTATGCAAGGAGATATTTTGAACTTTTCACATCCCAATTTTATGTTGTGAACTACCCTGACATCTACAGATGAAGGGTGGTATACAAAAATAACAACAACCCTCACTCTTTTCTTAAATAAGTTCTCCATTACATCAGGCGACCCAGTTCACCCAGCTCCCCGCCCCGAAAGCAACCTCAGGTGTAGGTACTACTACACCATCATTCCAGTGCTTTACCAACTGCACTGGCTCCCGGT